TGGTAGAGAACCCCTGGGATCAATCCTCAGTTCCACAAAAAAAAAAAAAAAAGAAAAATAGTATATAGATGTAGCTTCTTTAGCACTGGAGATTATCAGTTTTTTGAATATGTGTTCATCTTTTTGCCTTAAATTTGTATTTTTCTGATTAGTGAGACTGAACCTCTTTTTATATATATTTTTGCATTTATCATGACCTGTTTATTCCCTTTACCCATTTTTGTTCTGAGTGTTTTCTCCTTATTTCTGAGGGTTTTCTTCTTGTTGATTTGTATATTCCTCTGTTTTCTGCACTTGGTGAACTCCTATCAGGCCTTCCAGATCTGGGCAGGTGCACCCTGCCTCCAAAAAATATCCTAAATCTTTGGCCTCTCCTTGTACCGTCCTTCCCCCTTCACCAAGTTCAGTCCCCTATTCTGCACTTAGTGCTAACCTTAATGCATGTTTATTTCCTACATGAGATCATGAGCATTTTAGTCTGTTCTCTCTATTTTCCCAGCTCAAAATAGTGTGGTCCACATAGTATAGGTGCATAATAAATGAATGAAAGAGGGGGAAAGAGATGGAAGGTTAAGGGATGGTAACAGGAATGACTTTGATCAACTACATTATAAGCATGTATGAACTTGCCACAATGAAATTCACCATTTTGTATAATTAATATGCATCAATTAAAAAGAAAAAAAAACTGAGCAAATGATCCACAAACAAGATTACTTTTCAACTTATTTCCTTTTCCTCATTCCTTGAAAAAACAGCACAGAAAAAAAAACCTAGCTTATTTTGTTCACTTCCTAACTAAAATATGAATTTAGCACAACTCCATTTACATAAAGAACTTGGGCTCTTTGCCTCCATTGTTTTAATTTTTCCTTTCCTTTAATTTTGGAAGTTAAACTCCCTGGGTCACAGGATCCCAGTCTCAAAACTAGCAGCAGCTTTAATTAGCTGTTTTTGCTTGATAAGCACACCACTTATCAAGTTCCACCCAATCCCTGAGAAACAACTTTACTTCTTCACCTCTGCAAGATACCTGAGTTCCGGACATATTGCAGGCCAGGTGTCTGGGAAAGGCCAGAAATTAAGGTGCATCCCAAAACATATTTTATTCAACCTGAGATGTCCAATAAAGCCTCCGGACATGTAATACACTTGTTAGTTTACAAATGCTACATTTATTATCAAAGGTAGACCAAGCCCTCAGACAAAGGAACACCACATTCCAGTACATTATCATAACCTGGATCAGAAAACTTGGAGCCAAGTAAATTAAAGTCAACACTCAACAATCAAGCCATGGGTAAATGAGCTTGAGACTCTGGATCCAAAACCCATGAAAAGGACCATGAACCTGGGACTTCTGGTCAACCTCAATACTCTGTAAGATCATAAATACCTGGATTTTAAATAAAATTTATTTAAAGTAACCATTTTATTTTTACCCCAAATAAGATCTTTCATCTGTAGCAGCAACCAAGCTATCCTTTAGTTCTAATTGCGTCTTGTGACAATAATAACAGCAGCTAATGTTTGTTGAGGGTTTACTGTGAGTCGGACATATGCTAAGTGCTCATACATCAACTCATTTAACTGATATCGATTGGTCAGTTCTCAGAATAAATGGAGAAAGCTTATCCTGCTAATAATTGGAAGGATTTACGGTCAGTTCTGCTAATGCACATAACCCTCTCAGTTTTCAACCCATTTCTATGAGGCTGTGGGGAGAGGCGCCTCCAGCTTGCCAGAGGTAGCTTCTTGGAGAAAACTTACACTAAAACGTCTCCAACTCTGATAAGTCCACACGTTCTAACCTGCTTCCCTATAAATGAGGATTTGCAGAAAATGTTCCCACTTCTGGCAGACTAGAAGTTGGAGTAAGGAACTGTTGTTAATCACAAGAAAGGGTGAAATTTAACTCTAGTGTTTCCCAAGTCTTTATAAACTGTTTACAGCTTATTATTTTACAGGCAGTAAAATGAGCCCTAGGAGACTCCCATGGTGAGGGGACCAGTGTACTCTCATCTCTGAAGTCACCTGGGCAGAGGAGAGATCCTGGCAAAGCCTCTGAAGATAGCCTGCCCTTAGGGAGCAGCTCCATGGGGGAAGGGAGCCTCAAGGCTAAGGAAGGAGCTCTGACTCCACCCTTCAACTTCAAAGGGAGCATCCAGTCTCTCCCTGAAAAGGCAACACCACAGGGTCCTCTTGGGGGATGCTTCAGATCTTCCTGGCCAGAGCAGGAAGAGGAGCCTAAAGGCCAGGTGGCGTGAGAGGAGACAAAAAGCTGAGGCCTGGGACGGGTCCATCAAGGGGAGAGCCAGAGCCTTTTAAAGAAGCCTAGACAATTCTGAGCAGCAGGGCCTGGAAGGCGGCCGAGTTCTCTTTTAAAAAGAGAAAGAAATGAAAACAAAAAGCCTTGTCTGAGCATGACTCTTGGCCCTAGTGCTTTCGCCAGTTCTGCAGCGTCTCCCAGAGAAAGCTCGCCGCCAGACAAGGACAGCCAGACAGACCGAGGGCGCAGAAGAGAGGCCAGAAGCCGGCCCACGTTGGAGCAGGGACATGGAATGTTCCTGGGGGTGGCGGAGGCTGCACTGACTCCTCAATAATTGGTTGGGAGACAATTGGCCATCCATATGGAAAAAATAAAGTAGATCCCTATCTCACAGCAGGCCTCCAAATAAATTCCAGATGAACTAAAGACCTACAGGGAACAAGCAAAGCTATTATGGAGATTTGGGAAGAAAACATAGAAGGATAGCTGTATAATATTTAGAGAGGGAAGAGCTCTTTAGAGAAGCTTTATGTGCAAAACATAAAGGCAAAGATGGATAACTTTATGTATATTAAAATTAAAATCATGGGCTGGGGCTATACCTTGGTGGCAGAGCACTTGCTTTTCATGTCCAAGGCCCTAGGTTTGATCCCCAGCACTGGGGGGAAAAAAATTGAAATCTTGTCTATGATGAAAAACACAATGTGCAACATGTAAAGACAAGCCATAGACTACAATGAAAATAAGTGTAGAATATCTTAAAATGTATAAAATAAATAACCCTTACTCCCACCCTCCCACCCCCCCAAAATGGGCAAAGATTATGTGAACTTTTGTGGGGTTTTTTTTTTTTTGGTGGTTGTTGTTTTTTGGTGCAAATAATTGGATACAGGGCCTTGGGTTTACAAAACACAGGTATTACCATTGAGCTACACCCCAGCCCTGAGCCAAGGATATCAACAGGTAATTCACAGAAGAATCCCCAGTCAGCAACAAAAGAAAAGTGAATCAGTTTTACTTGTGATCATAACTGGAAATTTCAACCATGAAATCCCACCCAGATCCATGAAATTGAAAAAAAAAATTGTCATCTAGCAACCCAAATGTAGATATGAGTATAGGGAGTCAAAGTCTATTGCTAATCAGAACCCCTAGGAGAAAAAGTGCAAAGCCTAGTACAGATGAACCTCACAATCCCCTGTAGAGGCATTCACTAACAGACAATTCCTTTGCTTATAGAAGAATAAATTGGTTTCACTCATCTGATAATATACTATAAAACAGTTAAAAGGAATGAAGCAGGACTGGATGTAATTCAGTGGTAAAGCACATGTTTAGCATGTATGAGGCCCTAAGATCAACCCCTAGAGCCACACACAAACCCATTCAAAAGAAAAAAATGGCTGACTGTGGTGGCACACACCTATAAACCTGGTGACTTAGGAGGCTAAGGCAGGACAATTGCAAGTTCAAGGACAGCCTGGGCATCTTACCAAGATCCTGTCTCAAAAATAAAAAGGCCTGGGGGTATAGTTCAGTGGTAGAGTGACTTGGGTTCAATCCCCAGTAACACAAAAGAAAAGAATGAAATAAATCTACTTGTTTAAACATAGCTAAATCACAAAAACCCTAATGGAGGATTAAAAAAAAAAAAGCAGTCTACTTTCTCTGATATTATATCTGATATACTTGTATAAAATTTCAAAACAAAAAAAATAATAAAATACAAAATCATACTTGTATGTTTCAACTTTTCTGTCACTTAAAATAAAGCAGAAATTACAATGAGATACTACTTCACAATCATAAGGATGACTATTAACAAAAATACAGAAAGCTGCAAGTGTTGGTGGGTGATGAAACTGGAACCTTTCTGCATCGCTGTGGGAATGCAAAAATTGTGCAGCAGCTGTGGAAAATAGTGACAATTCCTCAAAAAATCAGAATTATCATATGATCCAGCATTCTACTTCTGGGTATACAGCCAAAAGAACCGAAAGTAGAGAGTTGAGCAGATATTTGCTCATCCACATTTAAAGCAGCATCATTCACAATGTGGAAAAAGTAGAAAGCAACCCAAGGGTTTATTGGGGGTATGGATAAATAAAATATGATTAATGCATACAATGTTACAATGGAATATTATTCAGCCTTAAAAAGGAAAGAAATTCTGATGCAAACTATAAAATGGAGGAATCTTGGAGCATTATGCTAAGTGAAAAAAGCCAGATACAAAAGGACAAATCCTGTATGATTCATTTTAGGTACGTAGAGGAATCAAATTCATAGAAAGTAGAATGGTGATTGCCGGGGGGCTGCAGGGAGAAGGGAATAGAAAGTACAGAGCTTTAGTTTGGGAAAGTGAAGAAGTGAAAACTAGATGATGGTCATGTTCACGGAACAATGTGAATCTACTTAAGGCCACAGAACTGGATACTTACGAATGGTTAAAATGGTGAATTTTATGTTGTGTATAGTATTGTAACAGCATTAGAAAAAGAAATTTAAAATAGGAGAGTTGTCTTGAATTCAGTCCCTCGACCTAGCAGAGCCGGCAGAGTTCATCTGCATACACGGGGGTAGGGAACTCCATACTCCTGGACAGCAGCATCTGTCCAGCCGCTCCTCCCTCCCCCTCCTCCACACCCAACTGGTGACCCACCCGGCCCCCCAAAGTCTCGCCGCGCAGGCGCGGAACGGTGGACAGAAGGAGGCGTGGCCTCTGTCTGCGCCTGTGCCGAAATCCAGCTGCGACTGCTAGGGGAGAAGATGATGCCCAGGTTCGGCTCCTTGGCCCGCCGGCTGAGGAGAGGCCCACACTGCACACGCGCAGACACAGTACCCGCGTCAAAAGGCGAGGAGAGCGTGCGCTCCCCACGTCCCGCCCGCCAGGCTGCCAGGCATTCGTCTCAGCGGTGACTCCCGCCGGGCCAGGGCAGGCGCGCCCACGTCTGAGCAGCGATGCCCCGGGAGATCATCACTCTGCAGCTGGGCCAATGCGGCAACCAGAGTGAGCAAGCGAGCGCCGGGCCCCGACAGTCTCTGGTTCTGCCCCATCTGGCACCCACCAGTCCCTCTTTCCCTTCCATGAACCCCCTGCCCTACTGCGCATGATAACCTAGACCAAGAACTGCGCCTCCAGCCCTGAGCTGTGATGGCTCCCAGGCCCAGGCGTCTTGGGTCCACCCTCTCTGAGTGTGACTGCCTCTGAGCCTAACGCTGGGCTCCTCAGGCCTTATGGCTCTCGCAGACCCGGGCGTCTTCCCCCCTCCCTCAGTTGGGTTCGAGTTCTGGAAACAGCTGTGCGCGGAGCATGGTATCAGCCCCGAGGGCATCGTGGAGGAGTTCGCCACCGAGGGCACTGACCGCAAGGACGTCTTTTTCTACCAGGTGCCCCCAGCGACTTGGCCAAAGCCCACAGTGGCCCAAGGGGCCTGAAGGGAAGGGCAATGGCCTGGTACTGGGAAACCTGGTGGGCAGAGTAGCCAGGGTGGCTGGCTTGAGGAGGGAGGGTCAGTGGAGCCAGAGATGGGAGAACTTGGTTCACGCTAGCTCATTGAGCCCTTCCTGGATTCTCCATGACAGGCTGACGATGAGCATTACATCCCACGGGCAGTGCTGCTGGACCTGGAGCCCCGGGTGATCCATTCCATCCTCAACTCTCCATATGCCAAGCTCTATAACCCAGAGAACATCTACTTGTCAGAACATGGAGGAGGAGCTGGCAACAACTGGGCCAGGGGATTCTCCCAGGTGTCCATCCCGGAGACCCTTGATATTCCCATCCTGGGGCAAGGCAGGATCAAGCCACTTGGGAATTTGACCAGACTAGACTGACAATAAATAAGAGACAAATGGATACCCTGACATGACAGAAAGCTGGGAAAGGTTTATGCAAATTTTGTGCAAATCATTTGAAAACTAGCTTTTCTGGGTTAAGTACTACACTGAGGCTTTGCTTCGGGGGTGGGAACAAAGTCCCAGAGTAGAGTTCTTTATATTGACAAGAGAATCTTCAGCCTGACCCTCCCTTCCCATGTCTCTACACAGGGTGAGAAAATCCATGAAGACATCTTTGATATCATAGACCGAGAAGCAGATGGAAGTGACAGTCTAGAGGTGAGGGCCTCCCCACTGAAGAGGGCTGGGGGAAAGGTGAGGAGGTGACCTGAACAAGTTAATACAAAGGGGACAATTCAAGACCATTTTGGGGACTGGGAATGTAGTTCAGTGATAGAGCACTTGCCTAGCCTGAGGGAAGCCCTGGGTTTGATCCCCAGCAACTGGGGCAGCGGGGTTGGCATCAGATATTGGGGCATTGAAGAAAATAAGATACAGTCCTTGTTCTCAAGGAAGTCATAACCTGGGTGACATCAGCTCCTTGTGCATGGAATTGATTCAACCTGTTCAGGCTCTAAACCTTCCCAAGGAGCCTCACCCTGGATGAACACAGAAGAAACCTTGAGACACAGTGTGTTGGAAGTAGGGAATGAGCCAAGCATGAAGCCTCTCCACCTCTCCCCTTGCAGGGCTTTGTGCTGTGCCATTCCATTGCTGGAGGTACAGGTTCTGGCCTAGGCTCCTACCTTCTGGAGCGACTGAATGACAGGTAAACCTGTATTTGAGAAAACATTATCCCTAGTTCCTTAGGTACTATATTTTCATGTTTTCACTTTTTTTCTCATGAGTTGCTAGGTCTGCTAGGACCCTCTCTGCTTTGAGTAATAGGGACAAACCCACCTAGGGAATACTTTGGAAGCAATAACTGGGGGAAGAGGAGGTTAAAAGGAAGGGGAGGGAGCCTACAGGGTTTGATACTTGTGGCTTATTTTGGGATTTTGGGGGAGGCTAGTTCTACTCTTACTCCTTTTGTATAAGAACTCAATGGCAAATGAATGGTCATTATTGTCCCTAGAGGAGATTGAGAGTGGTAGTCGTGGGGTTCATCCACTTCACTATCTACCCTCCCCTTTTCCCTCTTCCTTGCCCCCAGGTATCCCAAGAAGCTGGTACAGACATACTCAGTGTTCCCCAGTCAGGATGAGATGAGTGATGTGGTGGTCCAGCCCTACAACTCACTCCTCACACTTAAGAGGCTGACCCAGAATGCAGACTGCGTGGTGAGCAAAGGAGAGCAAGTTGGGAGCATTGGCCTACCTCTGTAGGCCAGTCAGTCACCTGCACCTTGCCTTTTCCAAGTCCCTGCTCTTACAGAAAACAGATATCAACAAAGTCACAATATGTGGGCCAAATTGTGCAGTAAGGTCCCAAATTCCAGGTTGGTTTCAGTCCTTTTAGGCAGCAAGGCTCTCAACAAAGTGAGAGTACCTACCCTTATTTTGCCCACTCAGTTACTACTCATGTTTGAACTCTTAACTCAAGGATCACTTCATTAGCAAAAGCTTCAGCAACTGCCCAGTAAAGGTCAGGTTTCTTTGTGCATATTTTGGGTGTTAAATAAATGAAACAGACAAATGTTGTTTTTTGGTGCTGAAGATTGAACCCAGGGCCTTATGCATGATAAGCACATGCTCACTCTGCCTACACCCCCAGCTCGTTGTTTTATACCTAATTTCTGTCTAGGCCAGGCATGGTGGTGCACACCTGTAATCCCAGCAACAAGGAGGTTGAGGCAGGAGGACTGCAATTTCAAAGCCAGCCTCAGCAATTGCAAGGTCCTGAGCAATTTAGCAAGACTTAATTTTGGGGGGCAGAGGGGAGAAGGGAAAGGCAAGATCCATGTCTCTGGGCCCGGGAATAAGAAATAAAAAGGGCTGGAGATGTGGTTCAATGGTTAAGCACCTCTGAGTTAAATTCCCAGTACAGGGCTGGGGATGTGGCTCGACTGGCATGTGTGCGGCCCGGGTTCGATCCTCAGCACCACATACAAACAACGATGTTGTGTCCGCCGAGAACTAAAAAATAAATATTAAAAATTCTCAAAAAAAATTAAGTCATTCTGTCCATTTACAACTACAAAAAAAATTTAAAAAAAATTCCCAGTACAAAAGAAAAAATTAATACCTGTCCCATTGGACTATAAGCCCAATGACACAAAGACCATGCCTGTTTTTTTCTCTCTGGTATCTCTAGAGCCAAGCACTGTGAGTAATACCTAGGTGAACTCACATATTTGTTAACTGTCCTGCATGGTCCAAAAGTACATGATGATGCCACAAAGAAAATACTTTCCTTTTAAATTAGAAAAAGTTACTTCCTGGTTTTGGAGTTTAGTAATGGCTGAGCTATACCTTATTTCTATAACGCTTTTCTCCTCAAAAAGATGCTGTGATTCCCTTCTACGCTTCCAGGTGGTGCTGGACAATACAGCCCTTAATCGGATAGCCACAGACCGCCTCCACATCCAGAACCCATCCTTCTCCCAGATCAACCAGCTGGTGAGCCCCATCCTAGACTCCATTGGACCAGAAACCCTCATTGCTAGAAGGCCATCTGGGAAGGGAGGTCCCACATGGGCCAAAACCCATGGTGCACACCCCCATCCCCAGGTGTCCACCATCATGTCGGCCAGCACCACCACCCTGCGCTACCCCGGCTACATGAACAACGACCTCATCGGCCTCATCGCCTCGCTCATTCCCACACCACGGCTCCACTTCCTCATGACCGGTTACACCCCCCTCACTACAGACCAGTCAGTAAGAGCAGCCTTCAGTGTCCCAGGCAGGGTTGGCCTGGGCCCAGAGACACTGAACTTTGACTTTCTTTTCTCCCCTCTGCCCCAAAATTACCCTTTGCAGCCCCCCAAGGCTCTTGCTCAGAGACTGGCAGGAAGCAGGCCACTTGCCTACTGACTTGTGTCCCCCTTCCCTCAGTCTTGGCTCCTGCGGGCATGGGAATGAATGGGGTTGGCTTCTGCTCCTGCACAGGGGCATGAGTTTGCTAAGAGCCTACTCCTGCCTCAGAGTCTCGGGGTAGATCTGAACTTAGAGACATTGTTCACAGATATATCACAGTATCCTGAGTTGGATGGGGACATGTGTTGGCTCCTCTTTTGGACTATGCCTTAAATGCCAGCCTGGTCTCTGTGACCCACTTTCCCCTCAGGTGGCCAGCGTGAGGAAGACCACAGTCCTGGATGTCATGAGGCGGCTGCTGCAGCCCAAGAACGTGATGGTGTCCACAGGCCGGGACCGCCAGACCAACCACTGCTACATCGCCATCCTCAACATCATCCAGGGAGAGGTGGACCCCACCCAGGTAAGTGAGGCCTCTTTGCCCTGACCCCTGAACCCACAGGGTAGAGGAGTGGCCACCATCACCGCTCCCATACCCACCTCAGGTCCACAAGAGCCTGCAGAGAATCCGTGAACGGAAGTTGGCCAACTTCATCCCCTGGGGCCCAGCCAGCATCCAGGTGGCCCTGTCGAGGAAGTCTCCCTACCTGCCCTCAGCCCACCGGGTCAGTGGGCTCATGATGGCCAACCACACCAGTATCTCCTCGGTGAGTCCAGTCACTTCTTACCAGTGTCTATCTACCTTCATCAAATTCTTCCAGTCCTTTCCTTTTTGTTTTTCCTTTTGGCAGTACCTAGATTTGAACTACTTTTTATTTTTGAGACAGGGTCTCACTAAGTTGCCCTGGCTGGCCTTGAATCTGTGGTCCTCCTGTCTACAGCCTCCCAAGTAGCTGGGATTATATGCATGTGACACTGTACCTAGCTCCCCAGTCTGTTCCTATTTCAATCTTATACTAGCACCCATTCTGAAGATTTCCTTCTTTTTCAGCTCTTTGAAAGTTCCTGCCAGCAGTATGACAAGCTATGGAAACGGGGGGCCTTCCTGGAGCAGTTCCGCAAAGAGGACATCTTCAAGGACAATTTTGATGAGATGGACAGGTCCAGGGAGGTTGTTCAGGAGCTCATTGATGAGTACCATGCAGCCACACGGCCAGACTATATCTCCTGGGGCACCCAGGAGCAGTGATTTTCCTCTCTGCTCTTCCCCCATGTACAGGAAGCACAGCCACCACCATGACTGGTCCCTCTGATCCAACTTTACCTTACTGGATTCCTCTCCTCCCCAGAAACTGGTTCAACTTCCTCCCTTCCATTCCTGACCCTTGATATGCTTGTTCAGTTCAAATAAAGTTATAAAGCTTGGAGATGAATATAGTCAGGGCTAGATCTGTCACTATGGGGGATGGGATCTTCAGTTTTCTGGTGAGTCTTGGTAAGGTTGCCTTCATTTCCTCTAACTTCTTCCTACCTAGTCCAGGTCTTAGTATGTCTGTTTCTATTGAGGTTCCTTGCCTTGAACCAGGCTGTTATACTGAAGTTGGCCAACTTCATCCCCTGGAGCCCAACCACCTTTCAAGTAGAGAGGGTTAATGAGGTCTGCTGTCTCCTTAGTGTGTAAGTTCCTGCTTCAGGTTGAATCAATGCTGATCCAGTCTCCTCCATTCAGCAAAGAGGATGTGGGGATCTATGAAAGTAGGGCCTATTTCATTCTGAGCAGGTCAGAAAAGCTGGAACTCTGGATGCCCAGGGCCATCAGAATCTCAGGAACTCAACCCAGTTCAACCCAATGTGATAAGCAGGACAGAACTTAGGAGTAGGCTGTACTCATCCTGAGTTCTTTTTCTGTGCCAGAGGAATGTTTGGGTCTATATCCTGCCTCAAGCTTCTCTCTATTTCAAGCCCAAAGCAATAAGCAGAACAAAGATGAAACCAAACAGGATCAGAAGCTGGACACCAGGGTAGAATATGGGCAGAGACAGTCTTAATGACTCACTGCCCTCCAGCTTCAGGGATACCATGGGGCCACCCCTTTGCCACTGGATAGAGAAGAGAGGGTGAGTAATTGCCAGCTTCCAATTCTGTCTTCTTGCCTGCCCCGCCCATTACTCTATAGCAGCAAACTGGCTAAGAGAAGGTTAAATCCAGAAGGTCAAGGAGGGTGGAGCTCTATGGTGTCCAGACTCCCTTCAGTGTCTGGTAAAACCCCCAGAGTGTGGGTGTCCCCAGGGGTGGAGCTGTGAGCTATGGAGCTCCAACTTGTCCCATTGAAAACACTCCCACAAGAAGGGTTTGTGTAAATAAGGATTTTTTTTTTTTGCTTCTCTTCTACAAATAAATTAAGAAACAAACTATAAAATTGTCCACACCCATTTCAGACCTTGGGTGTGGGGTCTATGCCCTGTCCCTGCAGGGCCAAAAGGGTCCATGGTCTCCTCAAATCTCAGAGTAGTCCTGGCCCAGGCTGGAGGGAAGAGGGGAGTCATGACCTCTTGGCAGGCTCAGTCCTGCAGCTGCCCCAAGAAGCCAGACTGTCCCTGGGGCTCATCCAGGCCTTGGTGCTGGCTGGGAGGGGAGGTGTCTGGCAGGTCTTGGCATGGAGGAGCAGAGCTGCCGCAGGGCCTCTCGGGGGAGGGGTTGGCCAAGTAGGCATTCACCAGCTGCATGATCTCTTCCACCTAAGAGAGAGCAGAGGTCAATGCACAACAGGAGCCACTAGGTTCTCTTCTTTCAATTCAGGCTCTAGGACTCCAGCTTCTCTACCAGAGTCCTTCAGGTTCTGGCTCCTGACAACCTTACCCATCCTCACCATCCTACTAGGAATTGAGCCCAGGGGAGTTTTACCACTAAGCTATATCCCCACCCCTTAAGTTTTTGAGATAGGGCATCACTAAATTGCTGAGGCTGGCCTCAAACTAATGATCCTCCTGTCTCAGCCTCCGGAGTCTCTGGGATTACAAGTGTGCACCCCTGTGCCCAAATCATTCTTGTTTCTTTCTGCTCCTCTATCATGCCAAGTATACTTTCCTCTCTTGGCTTTTGTACTTACAATTCCCTTTATCTGGAATGCTATTCCCCTAGATTTTCCTATGGCTAACTTATGTCATCCTCTTTGAGAATCTGGCTCTGACTACCTAATGCTTGGCCCCTACAGTTACTTCCCATCATACTACTCTTTCCTTCTAGCTTAATGATCTTTGATTACTTGTTGATTGTCTGATTCCCACACTCTAAGCTCCTAGGAGCTTGTCTTTGATCATAGCTGGCTTCCCAGTGCCTAGAGCTGTACCCATGATTGATGGTCCATAGATTGTTCTATGCTTGCCTCTTCCTACTCACCTGGGGACTCTGCAGGAGGAGCTGACTCTCGCCTACCCTCAATGCTAGGGTTTGGGGACCCATTAGCTGGCAGGCGGCCACATGACCATAGCTGACACTGTGGATGGGTTCTGTCTCACCAGGCCGGGAGAGGGACATGGTCTTGGCTCCCAGACCCAGGCATAGCTTCTGTGGAGCACCTCCACCAGGTTCCTGCAGACAGATAGGCAGAGTCAGGGGGGAAGGAGAGGACAGCATTCTTTTTGGTAGGGGAAAACGGTTGTGAGCAGGGAGTTCCCTGATCCCTCTATGATACACAGTGAAGTATGAAGGGGGCTAGAGTCCAGGAGGTGCAAGCCCTCTAGGGCTGGTGTCTCCTGGGATTTGGAAGTAGGAAGTGAAGTGACCCACAGTGGGGGCCTATGGCTCTGGGGCAAAGGTGTGGGGCTTGGGCCTCCAGAGTCCCCTTCTCCCTTCTCCCCCTCACCGTGCTCAGCTCCAGAACGTCATACCGAGCAGCGCCGAACCCCGGACACTGCGCCGCCAGAGCCAGGTAGGCAGCCATGGCCTCAGCTCGGCCCATGCCCCGTAACCGCTTCCAGCCGCCCAGCACAGCAGCAGCGGTGCGGGCGCCTCCGCCTCCTCCCTCCGGGGCTGCGCTTCCCGCTGTGCGGCAGGCCCCACTGCGTCGAGCCCGCTCCGCCTGCCTCTTGGCCAGGCTGGGGCTCCAGAGTGCCCCGGCCAGCAGGGCGGCTGAGGGCGGCGGCCTGGGAGTTGGGCGGGGCTGAACTTCGCACGGCGGGATGGGGGGCGGCAGCAGGCGGTCTAGGCGAGGCAGGGGCACCCGCGGGGAGAAGTCTCGGTGCAGGCTCTGCAGGCGCAGCGCCGCCAGGGCGCGCAGCGTGTCGTCGGGCGGTGGCGGCCGGCCGCGCAACAGCAGAGCGTGAGCCTGCAAGGAAGGCACCGGGAGTCAGCCAGCAGTGGCAACTATACTGTCGCGAATACACCTCGGAGGGCGGAGCCTGAGAAGTTAAGGGTTTGGGGACAGTCTACCGTGGGGTTACCAGAACGTTTAATTGAAATGGCCTAGAAAGAGATCAGGCATAGATGGTATATTCCGAGGCGTGAATGTCGGAGATCCTCACCTGCTCAAAGAGGAAAGGCAGTTCGTGACCGTCTGGGGATAGTCCCTCAGGATGCAGAGGTCCGTGAAGACGCAGACACAGTCTCCACCCAGAGTCCAGCGAGTCTTCCAGTCCGGCTTCCTCTGAGGCTAAACTGCAGAAGAAAAAAGAACACGAGGCAATGGGGAAGCAGGGCCCAGCAGAATGCTGGCGACTTGGGAAAGGGGCAGGGCAAGTGTGGGGGCGTGGCCATGTTTTGGGGGAGGGCCAAGAGTGGCCCGCAGAGGTGAGTTTATAAGTCAGATTACACACACTGCGGATAGGGAGTCTGTCTGTAACTTAGAACAAATGCTAAGTGCTCAATAAATGTTTGCTTAGTGATTTAAGCTGGGGAGACGGGTTAATAGAACAGTTCTGGGCTGGACATTTACTTCTCAAACCTGGTGAGCACGTCGGCCACGAGGGTCCCCCCAGCCAGCGCTCGTTCCTGGGCGCCGCGCTGTTCGTACAACGCAAAGACGTTGCGGCTCCGGGCCAAACCCAGCCGCCCCACCAGCTCTCGAGCCACCTAGAAGGAAGAGAGGAAGAGGGTCTTGTCTGGATCCTCAGGCATACGGATCCAACTGACACCACCATTATCCCACTTATAGAAATAAGGAATCAGAGACTAGGACCAACCCAGGGTTCAGGAGAAGCAGGTATGAGAACTTAGAAGGAAGGGTTGGGGATACCCTGGACCTTTGGCCTCACCTCCCCTGCTGTTGTGTGAGAGTCAATGGCCACAGAGCAGGCACCAGCCCCTGGACAGTGCACCGTGCACAACAGCTCCTGTCGTTGGCTCAGTGCGGAAATCTCTGCCAGCGATGGCACCAGCTCTCTGCCTCGCGTCCGGCCCAGAGCTTTCCTGATGAAGCGCGCATATTCCGCTAGTTCCGAGTCCGGCAGTGCCTGCTCAGTCCTGTATTAGGAGGAATCACAGGATCAGTGCTCCAAGGGCTTTCCTCCTCCTCTTATTCCTCCTCCCACCCTCTTCCCTTCTTGTATTAATATTTTATTTCAACTAGTAAAACTCTTTCCCTCCAATTCAAGTTTCTTGAAGGCAGCCTATTTCCGGGCCTTTGCATGGAGCTAAATTAAATTACTTTCGGATGTCTTCTGGCAGCTTTCTCCCAACTGTCCCCACCCACTTCCGAAAATCTCCTGATCTTCCCCGCTGAAATCCAAAATTGAACCACATTACTGTGCTTTCCTAAGCCCTGGTACTGGTCTGCATAACTGAAGAAAAGTAGACTTTTTATAATTCCTCTGCCCAAAGGGGGTGCCTTATTGTAATTCATTTGCTCACCAATGGTTTATGATCTTGCAATTCCTACAAAAGCACGGGATTTATCCCTTCTCTGCATCTAGGTTCTCCATCTGTTGCAAAGGCCTTGCAAAGGCCTTTAGTTCTCTCCCAGCCCTGAAACTCCTTTGCCTTGGCCTTACACATTTTTCTTTCTTCTCACCTCTCCAAATGCCCTAGGAGGTGCCCCCGAACAGCTCCCCCAGGCCGGAAGGTGCAGCTCATGCAGGTGAGGAGCTGCCAGTACCGCAGGGTTGCAGGGTCTTGGGTAGCAGGGAGCCCAGGAGGACCTGCAGGGCCTGAGGTCTGCTTAGCCAGCTGCAGGAAGAGTTCATCCCGGAGTGCAGGCAGGTCCCGACAGGTTTGGAGCACACCCTGCATCAGGGGCCCAGGGCGCCTTGCCCCCTCCAGTGCCTGGAGCGCAAGGAACAGCCTTACCGCCTCCTCTCTCAAGGGTGCATAGCCAGGACCTGTGGGAGGGTGGGGGTGGAGGGACGGTTTGGAGAGGGGACACAGAGGTGCACCCTGGGAGGAAGGTGCAAACCAGGGAAAGGTCAGGAGTATAATGGGAACGGGGGTGGCAAGAAGGGGAGGGGACGAATGACAGGAAGAGTGAAGGGAAAGCAATGGTCCCACAAAGCCAAACTTTCAACCCTTGCCTCCCAGGAATCCTCTCTCCTTATCCTCCTAAACCTGGACCTGTTGGAAAGTGAGACCATAGCAGGCAATCAGGGCCAGTTGTTACCCCTGCCAGGAAGGTAGGAGGGTTCCCAAGAGGTCTCACCAGTATGGTAGAGAGAAAGACTAAGGGAAGTAGGTTTAAACCCCAGATTCTGTAACTGGGATAGAACAGGCTGATCTAGGAGTTAGAAAACCAGAGTTCTTCAGAATCCCAGCTCCCCTAAACCTCTAGCTTTAGTACCCAGACTAGTCACTACACCCTTTTGGGGAGAGATATAGCTGGATGAGGCAAGCACATTCTCCCCAAAAGGTGTTTTTTTCTACCACGCAATAAGGTAATATGACATGTTATTAAGACCATGTTTTTTTTAATTTAATTAGTTATTAATGGACCTTTATTTATTTGCTTATATGTGGTGCTGAGAATTGAGCCCAGTGCCTCACACATGCTAGGCAAGCGCTCTACTACTGAGCCACAACTCCAGATCAAGACCATGATTTTAAAAATAGAAGAGAAAGGATAAAAATCCCAGAAGGAACATTAATGGTTAGAATGAGATCTTTTAGAGAAATAGTCACTCACGACCATTTTTTTTCCTGTTCTGCTTTCCCTCCCTTCCACTCTTATCAGCTTAGTTTCACCTTCATCCTTTGAAAAGTGTAGATCTCGGTAGAGCCCTTGAAGACTTAAGTCCCTGCCAATTAAGGCATTCAGATTCTTATTTGTGATCTACCTCATCCCATCCAAAAAAGCTGGGCCGTAGGACCACTCACCTGGGGCACTGACTCCATAGGGCAGGGGCAGAAGTGGGGCATACAAGGCTCCACTGGTATGCCTCAGAATCGGGTTCCGACGGTAGATGAGGGCCACCGCCTCTGGATCCCCGCAACTCTCCTAGATACCAGGAAGAGGGTCACCTGATGGGGAAGGGAGTTCCCTGTGCCAAGAAAGCTTTAAGTTAACCACCCTCCAGGCTCTTAGTTGAGTCCCCTCTCTCACCTGTATGTCCCTGAGCAATAGCTGGGTGGGGGTCTCTAGCGGAGCCTTTGAGGAGATCACTTCGCGCAAGGCTACCCCCCAGCGCTCAGCCTCTGCCTGGCGGGGGGAGCAGAGGCGGACGCTGTGTTTCCGGCCAGACACAGTCACTGACCACAGACCTGTTGGAAAGTGAGACCATGGCGGGCAATCAGGGCCAGTTGTCACCCCTGCCAGGAAGGTAGGAGGGTTCCCAAGAGGTCTCACCAGTCTCCTTGGGCCTGCGCTCTGGGCCAGTGACTGAGCACAGGCTGGTGAGTACAAGGCTCCCGAGGCGCCGAGCACCCTTCCCATTGCTGCTGAAGTGGTCCAGAGAATCTCGAGTGAGCACGAACCAGGCTCGGCGAGGGGGCAGCCATGGCCGTGCCCCTCCTCCGCGGGGCTCGCGATACAGCCAACCTGGGAAGACAAAGGAGGATGAGGCGCCAGTCCAAGGAGACATTATCCTCTACAACTAGGGGCCTCCGGAGTGCCCTGAGGGAGTCCCCACCTTTCACAACGATGTCAGGGTCATCCTCCGGCAGACCCTTTTCGGGAATGAGGCTCCAAGTCTCCTCCCAGCTCTGCAGCCTGGGTCAGAAAGGAAAAGTTGAGTGAAGCTGCGAGACCTCCACTCCGCCTCTAGGGGGCTTCTCTGTAGGGGCTCCCCAGGCTGCGCTGGGTGCTTGCTCCTAAACTGGGCACCCCTCCTCCAGGCTGTGGGAACCGCAGGGCCGTTCTGACCTTGCACCAGAAATAGCCAGGACCCCCCCCCACCTTCCTCCCCACGCCCCCAGACTGGACCGCCCCCGGGACCCCGGCCAAACCACAGCGTCCGGCAGCATTGGGCCTCTCCCTTATTGCACAACCCCGTGAGGGAAGACCACAAGGATGCGGGTCCCAGGAACCAGCTGGGGTCTCAAAACTAAGAATGGGGCCGGGATTGTGGCTTAGTGGTAGAGTGCTTGCCTAGCACGTGTGAAGCACTGGGTTCAATCCTCAGCACCCCGTAATAAATAAAATAAAGTTAAGAAGAAACAACAACAACAACCAAGAATGAAGAGGTGAAACTCACCTGTCAGAGACTGCAGCGCTCCTCACAGGCTGAGTCAGTGTTACATCCAGGGGACTCTGGGGAGATAGGCAAGGAAACTCAGCATCAGAGCCCTCCCTGCCCAATTCTAAGACAGCGCTCAGGGGGTGGAGGAAGAAGTCAAGGAGTTAGGTAGTGACTGAGCTGAATGACCAGGAGCTGCTCTACCCGGGGTGTCTTTGCAAACAAACTCTACAGACCAGCCCAGAGCTAAGAAGCCAAAGCTTCGGCCTTTCCCCTTACCCTTTGAAGATGCAAAGAGGTCTGATAGGGTGGAAAGAGTCCTGGGCAGGGAGTCAGGAGACCTGGGATCTAATAGTGGCTGGATCACTAACTCACTGTGTCAAGTCCGCTTCCCTCTCTGTGCACACATTTCCTCATCTTTGAAACACCAGAAGTGGACCAAGTCCCTTCTCCCTTTGGCAGCCTGGAAGGCACTCCTTCCTCCTCATTTTTCCTTCACCCCTTCTACCTTGCTGGCCAGGGGAAGGCATGTGGTGGGCACGGAGATGAATGTAGGGAATTTAAAAGCTTGGTACATTCACCCGCAAAAACACTCCTGAGATTCAGGGGACAGCAGAGACCCTACCTCTTTGCTGGGGTTCAGAAAGGCAGGCCAGGCTGAAAAATAGCGCACACTTTCCAGGCCAGGTGTGGTTTGAGATTTTGTCCTTCTCTCACTACATCCCTATTGGAACTTCAAGTATAGACTGGGGTCTGAGAGAGCCTCCTGGAACTTCAAGTGTAGACTGGGTTCTGAGAGAGCCTCAAACCCAACCCAAAGCCAAGCCAGGCAGGAACTGTGCCATAGTCCCACTGTGCCCAGACTGCTAGACAGCCAGGAGTGGGGAGGAGGGGAAGGGAGACAAGGGACACCTGTCCCCAAGCTTCGAGGAGGAGGGGGTGGAGGTAAAGCATGAAGGAGGCAATGGCTTGGTTGACAGAGCAGACCCTGCCCAGGTTGGAAGCTTGCGGGTCGCCTGAGTACTCTCCCTTCCCTGGAAACACATTCACCTATTTTCTGGAGGGTCTGAGCAGAGCTTTCAGCCACAGCACCAGAGGGGCAGGTACTAATCACCCTTTTAGACCAACCCTGGTAATCGCAGTCCCCTGCTTCCCTCCCCCCCTCTATATTTATCTGCCCTCTGCCTCGCCAGGTGCTGGCGCAGGCTCCACTAGCACCCCGCCCCACCCGGGCACTGAGCCACAGAGCCTGCTGGGGACCCCTGAGGGGGGATGGGAGCCTGACCCAGGCCACAGCACATAAGAGTCTGATTGCCAGAGTATAGAAGCATGGGAAAGGGCACGACATCAGGGATGGAGGTCTGCCACATCAATCGTGCCTCAGGTACCCAAAGGGGAGATCTGAAAAAACCCAGCAACCAAGTGTTCCCGACTGTCCCCTCAGGGACTTCCCAGGAGCCTCACCAGGGAAGGCCGAAAGTTCTGTCCTGAGTGGCAGGGTAATGACGAGAGGTCCTCAAAGGGCCACAGCCCCCAGCTCTCTGTCCGTGCGGTCCTCACCGCGGACCCCAATCCTAGGATGCCTTCTCCCCCTCGCCCAGATCCCGGTGGAGGAAGCTCCCGCATCTGGCCCCAGTGCTCACCAACTTGGAGCAGAGGGGACCCAGGCGTTCGAGCCGCCCAGCCGGCCTCGCCACATTCTTTGGCGCTGGCGGAGGCGGAAGGAGACGGGATGGGACGCGAGCCCGACAGGGAAGGGAGAGGCAGAGGCAAGGCCAGGTCGCGCCACGCGTGACGCCTCCCCTGCCTCAGGGCGCCCAGCAGGTGGACAGCGCCCAGTGTGCGGCGCTAGGCCCACAGGCACATCCCAAGTCGGGCTGCTCCTTGAGCTCCTGGGGGCTCTGGGCTCCAAGCAACAATCTCTCCCACATCCCCAGTTTGCTAAGAGTGCGGCAGCGTTTGGCTGGAGTCTGGAGTGGGATCAGGCGTGACTGCCGGTTGTAGTGAGAGTGATTGAGACAAGACTCTAAATCCCCCCGGGACTTACCCTCCCGCCGCCCGCTGGACTCGGGGTCCGTAGCTCAAAGGTCTCCTCGTCTTCGTCCTCGTCCCCGTCCCCGCTAAGCTCGCCGTCACCATAGTCCCGGTGCAGAAGAGTGAAGCCTCGACGGCAGCAGAGGAGCCACCACAACCCCCCCGGGAGAGGCATCCGGGCGAGCAGACGGGGGATGGGGGCCCAGGCAGCCGAGGCCAAGCAGCAGGGGATCGGAGAAACTGGCGGGGCTCCGACCCAAACGGGAGAAAGATGAGGCGGGAGGAGGAGGTGGGAGAGAGGGGACAGGGAGGAGGCAATGTCTAGGGCTAGGGTGCTAGGGGACGCAGGCTAGAGCCTGCGATGGGCTCAACGTCTGGGCCCCTGTAGGGGGAGGGGGGAAAGGAGTCCAGGGCCTGGGGGGAACAGGGAGCAATGTCCGGAGCTGGGAAGTAGTGTCCGTTGTAGTGTCCAGCCCTGTGGGGGGCAGTGTCCGGTGCAGTGTCGAGGTGGGCAGTTGTCCAAGCTCCAGGGAGGGTCGTGTCCGGTAGGGCGTCCGGTGGCCGGGGCCCCGGCGGCGCGCGCTGCGCTCCCTGCAGCCCCGGGACTGGCGCGCTGGGGGCGCGAGCACAGCTCCCGGACCCCGCCTCCCCAGCCCCCTCCCCCTTGAGCCCCCCCTTCCCTCCTCTTTCTCTCCTCCCTTCTTTACAGGGCAGGGTCCACGTTTCGTCACAGTCTCCTCCGCCCAATCCCTGTGCCTGGAGCCGGGCTTAGCCACCAATCACAAGCTTGCAACTGCTTTGGGTTGCATCATGTGCCTTTGGCTGGGAGCCAGCTGGGAGGGGCGGGGAAAACAGGGAGGGAGGGGGCGGAACGATGTTAACCACGCCCCAGCTTCTGAGGTCGGCAGCGGGGTGCCAGTGACATCACGAGAGTCCGCCTTCAAGTTCTTGTTTTAACTCTTAGTTCACCAGCCAGCCAAATTAAAAACCCTCTTGAGGAGCTCTGGAGAATGAAGGGCATGGAGTTGAAGGGAAGCTCGACTGCTGCGCTCTATTTCCTCTCAGGGTCCCTGGGAAACGGAAGAACTTTAACTACCGTGAGGGTTTCCAGACCTGAACCAGACCCAGCTCTGAAGACGACCCTGCACCCCTGGAGTTAAGAAGTCCAGTTCCTAGATCTGAGTCATCTCATTTTTGAGGTGAAGCAGCTAAGGAGGGAAGGCGCAGACCTAGCCGGCAATAAAATCGAATTTAGAGTGCTGTTCACCGAACTCGAGTAGAGAGAGTGGTTTCGCATTCTAGGGAATTCTATGGTCTCCAAATAGAGCGGAGGCCCTCCAGGGCGAATATTCTGCAGTTCCGAGCAAGGAGGGGTTAACCAAGGCTTTGGGCGGCCAGGGGAGGGCTTGGCAACAGCAGGAGAAAGCGGGCGCGCGCGAGTGTGCGCGCGTTGCTGACTCAGCGGCGATTCCCTAAGTCTCCCGAGGAGGATTCTGTGTCGGACTCCAAAGGCTAGCTGTGAGACCCCTTGAGGATCCGCACAGTCTCCAGGACTTCCCTGGATCCTGATCCTTAGAGGCCAAGGCTTTCTAGCTAAGGCTCTTGGAAGCTTGGCTAGTCCGGGCTTGGCGGGCGGGACAAGGCGGAGACTTCAAGCCAGCGCCTCCCCTGAGACCTCCTCCCCACGCCACGCCCTTCTCGCCCCTAGCTTCGGCTGGAGTGCTGGGTACAGCTTTGCTGACAGGATATTAAACTGAGAGAATTGTCGCACGTGAACACTCTCCTGTCTGTTGTGATTGTGCAAAACAAAGACCAAGAATCAATGCCATCCACTCAAGAGGCCATCCAGGCTGTGCCTTCGCCACAGAGCTCTGTACTGAAATTATCTAGGCTAAGAGACAACCATAACACATAACACAACCACAACACAACCATAGCTCTCTTCCCTGTCTGGATCCTAGGCCCTTGCCTGCAGGGGAGTTCTTTCGTGGTCTAACCTTCCTCCTTCTCGGCAAACTCAGTGCATTCCCTCTGAGCATATCCCCGGGGAAGTTGGAGAACTGCAAGTAACCCCCTCCCTCCCCTCGCACACACATACACACACCACACCCCTGATAACTCCTCTTTGGTGATTTGCATTGCAATTCCCTTCTAGTTTTTTTCTGCAAGGTGGAAAAACTCCAATTCAACTTTTAAATTACTTTTTTTCTTTCCATTGCAGAAACTTTAGACGGGATTATACTATGTTAATCTAATCCAAACGCCTGTTCAAAACGAGAATCTCCTGTCCCCACCCCCTACCTCGGTACCATACACAGGCTCACACAGTCCGGGACAGCCTCAGTTTACACATTCCAGAGGCCAGGAACTCAGTACTTGCTAAGGCAGCCATTACTGGATTGCACTCTGGTTGTTAGAAAGCTCTTTCTTACGCTATTTCAAGAGGAACCCCTGCCCCTCCTCTTCTGGCACTTTTCCCACTTCACCTCTGTTGGCAGAGACTTGGTAAATGTGGAGGGGGTGTCAGTGCCTAGAGCTTTAGCAGACTCAGCAGCACCCCCTCTCCCGCCCCAGGCTCTTAGCACCTCCCACTCAGACCCAAGCACGGGGGTGAGGAGGGAGGGGGTGTAACCCACTGTCTGCCCTGCTACAAATCACTTCCAAGTCGGTGATTCAAAAATAGTAACAGTTGTTGAGTTGCATCTCATTTCCATGTTATCAATTTAATGTAGCAAACACAGAAGTAATCCTTTTAGGTTCCTATCTCGTTCTCAGTGTTTCCCCACCTACACCCTTTTTCCCTTACCCTCCCTGGAATTGTTTCCGCAACCCACCCCCTCCTCTGGATTCGCAGCCCTAATTGTCCCAGGAGAGACTGTGTGTCTCCGTGGGAGCTGAACAAGAAGAAAGGCGGGGCCGGCGGGGGCAGCGGCCGCGGGGTTGAAACCTTGGACTGCAGCTCCCACCCCGTAGCAGCCTCCGCAGGTCCTGGCGGAAGCGCAGGCCCAGAAAGGCATAGAGCACGGGATTGAGGCCGCAGCGGGCCAGGGCCAATCCGCCGGTCACTAGCAGTGCCAGATCCTTGCGCTTGCTGGCAGGGCAGCTTCGCTCACGGGCTGCCAGTAGATCAGCGGTATCCAGGAGCAGGGCGAGGCTGTACGGCAGTTGCAGCACCACGAAGGCTGCCACCAGGGCCACCACAACGCGCAAAGCGCGCCGGCGCTCCGGCCCCCTAGCGGCCAGCAGCGTGCGGCCCAGCAGAGCGTAGCAGACTGCCATGACGCCCAGCGGCAGCGCGAAGCCCAGGACCACCTGCGCCACGGCGCTTGCCCCTTTCACGGTCTGCGTGAGGCCCTCGGGGAAGATAAGGCGACAGCGTCGCTGACCTTCGCGTTGCCCGTCCCGGCTGAAGAGGAGCGCAGGTAGCGCCAGGAGCAATGACAGCAACCACACTAAGACTGAGACCAAGTGTGTGCGGCTGGGCGTGGAGGGCCGCTGCCCAGCTGGGAGCGCCCGAGCGATGGCCACGTAGCGGTCGGCACTGATACAGGCTAGGAAGAGGAAACCGGCATGGAAGGAGGCCGAGTAGAGGCCCGAGATGGCACGGCAGGTGGCACTTCCTAGACTCCAGCCCTGGAGAGCTCCTGCTGCGGCAAAGGGCAGGGTCAGGGCCAATAGGAGATCGGCCAGGGCCAGCTGGAGCAGGTGGGCCGAGGTGGGTGAGCGGGCAGTGCGTCGGGCCGCTAGATGAGTGGCTAGGACCAGGCCATTGCCGGCCAAACCTAGAGCAGCCACCGTCAGAGAGATGCTGGGTTGGAAGGCCCGACTGAAGGCCTGGACATCCGCCTTGTAGCAGATCTCTGGCAATGGCTCAGCAGAGTACACTTCATCACCATCCCCTGAGTAGGGACCCCAGGAAACCTGGGGAGGTCAAAATGAGAGGAGGGACGGTATGAAATACTTGCCTGCATCTCTCTCCCGCCCCACGCCTTCCACGCAGGAAACCCCGGTGAGACCAGGAATAACAGTATATGGAAACTCCTCTAGACTCTTCTTGCACAACCTAAAAGGCTCTCACTTCGCTTGCATCCCTTTTGCGTCTGTTTCTTGCTTCCTGGGTGACCTTGAGCAAACCTCTTGCTCATTCTGAACCTCAGTACTTAATATATATAGCAGAAATTAGAAGTCCTGTCTAGCCCACCTGGCAATGTTTTAATTGAGACCCATTTGAAGTATGGAAGATAATGGTTGTAAAGCATCTAGCTCTTCATAGATCAAGCGTTTGTATTATTAATAAATCTTGCCTCATGATGGCGCACACCTGTAATCCCAGCTACTCTGGAGGCTGAAGGCAGGAGAAATTCGAGGCCAGTCTGGGCAATTTATTGAGCCCCTGTCTAGGCCCTGGGTTCAATCCCCAGTATAGATTTGTGTGAGGGTAGGAATCTTGCCGTTCCCTTTGCAGCGCCCTCTTCTGGAAGGTCGACCAGATGCAGACATTGCCTCAGACCTAGACCCTGAACCCAAAAGCTTGGTTTGGAATGGATTTCCATCTTCTTTCTTTTCTCTAGCCTCCTCCCCGCCACTACCTTAAGTATAAGCACCACTCATGTAAAAGGGGCCTCAAGGGTTGGGATTCAGATTTTGGGGCTCCAGCACAAGTCAGGATGGCAGAGGCCTGATGACAAATGAAGAATCCCATCCTTTCCCCTTCCCCACCCGCGGTGTAACCCTTCACCCCCTCCCTTCCCCCACTCCCACCTGCTCTGTGGGCTCCGTCCCCATCTCTGGCTACAAAGGTTTCTGAGGTGTAGCCACAGGGGGGTAGAGGTTAAATAACTAATGAGACAGGAAGGAAGGGGTGGGGAGAGGTGGGGTTAGGGTCTCCCTTTTCTCATTCCATCTTCCCTGAAAGGATCTCTTAACCCTGTCATTGGAAAAAGAATGGCTTTTGGGATCATCATCATTTGCTAGGTAGCTGTGTAGTCTTGAGTATGTTTTTTGACTTCTTGAAGCCTAAGGTTTTTCATCTGAAAAGTGAAGTAAGGTCAAAATGCTGAATTCACAGTGTTCGAGAGTGCCCAACCCCAAGTCTGAAGAATTAATTGCCTTCAGAAAATGATGTATTCTTTTACTTATCCTTCAGCGCATCTCTAGGCACCTCTCCCTCCTCCTTTTTCTTGGATTTTTCAGGATCCTCCCTGTCCATGCCTCCTTTTTACCATTCCTGTGCCCCAGACCCTGCAAGCCTCGGATTTCTCGGGGTATTTCCCGGCGACTGAAGATTTTCTACCCCGCCCTTTCACAGCAGCTCTGAGGCGCGCGCTTGCGCGGGGTCGGGAAAACGCGCGTGCCAGGAGAGAGAGGTTGGGGACCGGGGGGGAGGTGAGAGGAGAGAGGGTGGAAAGGAG